TTCCCTTCCCATCCATTTGCCTACTTTCTTACTTCCGGTTATTTGCTTCCGACTCCCGATAACTCGAACTTCCGATCACTTGAACTCTCGCTAACTCGAACTTTCTTCGATTTCCCTAGGAGGTTCGAGTTACTGGGAGTCGACTGTACAGTCAAAATACCCCATATCGCCTTTTAACGTTTGTTATTCATTTGAACTCGTTAAGTTTGATTATGATTCTCAACAATCGTTCAGGTCGAAGGATGCCACGATCGTTGGCAAGTCGTCTCCAGCGATTAAACATGCATCGGATGCCCCTTTCTCCCCTTCGTATTCAATTAGAATGAAAAAAAACCTATGTTTTATATATTACATCAATAATCTTAATATCTAAATAGAAATCTTTCAGTTCCGACCTCGATAAAAAAAATTCAAACACTTCACAAAGAACCCATTAAATAAGACCCAATTTTTTCTTATGTTGTACGTAGGCTTCGAACCGCGCCACAGCATACTCCTGGAAGAAACAATAATAAGAGAGAAGTCAAATAATAAAAGGACAAATTCTTTGGAACTCTAAACCCCTTAAACCCTATGATTGACGAACATTGAATTTCTCCCTACCGTAACACTTCTCAGTAAAACATTACGGTCGTGAGAGAAAAGAGAAAAATCAACAGATGAAAAGTCCTGATAAATTGTTAAACAAATACATCTACCTGGAGTTATGAAAACCGGGTTAGCAAACATTTTGTAATTTTTCGCAACTTCCCCTGTCTAATAGCTTGACATATGTTTACCGTGTTGTTTGCTTATGTGTTTTTTTTGCTTGTTTTGTGGCTAGGGATTTGTGTTGAAGTGGATGTGGACACAATGACTATCTTACGACTATCTTCGCAGAGTCTGCATCGTCCAATATCGTTAAATATTCTCGTTTCATTTGGTTAAACGGATCAATCACCCTGATCCGGGCTGAGACAGAAAGGTACGATATCGTTCGCTTTTCTAAGGTGACCATTAAGTCTTTGGCCTCGGGAACAGGCTCTTAGGAGTCATATGAATTAGGTGAGAGCAAAATCGCCGGTGAATTCTGACCCGGGCCAAGACTTTTTCTGGTGTGAAAGCAAGGCTAAGGTGATCCGCGCACCGTGTGAGTCTAAATCCGGGAACTTGAATAAGACGAGTGTAAGAGAAAAGTCCAGAGGTGTTTATCTGGCAATAGGCTGAGTTTTTCCGAGTTATTCGATGATATTTCGGTTATGTTAAGCGTGAGAAGATTATGCGTGGTTGTGGATAGTCTTATCAGTGCCACGAAAGTGTGTGATTGTATGATTTCCGCATGGTTTTGACAGGTATGTGATCGCGTGGTTGAACTGCGGTTTCGCCAAAATATTCCGTGCCAATATTGTTTCGTCGGTGTTTAACTTAGCTCATTGTACCTTGGAAAAGCAACTCTCGACTCCCGAAAATTGGATCTAGGTCTAGTAATGGTATTGCGCCATAGGCCGGTTTTTGCAGAAAAGAAGGTGATATATAATTTGTGCACTATGTCTCATTCACTTTGTTGTCTATTCCATGCGGAATCCTGTTGTTTATCGGACCGCGAAAAAAGTAGTGTTTTGATAACTATTTAAGCTGTTATGTAAGCCTTAACCAGGCACTCTTTCGCTGCAGTTCACTGAACTTAAAAAGTTCGAGACTGAAATGACACCGGTTTGAATCTTCGCGAAGTCAGTTTACTGAATAAATGATCTAAAATTTGCGTCACTTTAAATTTGGACTCGTTAGAATGCTTCTAGGGACCACCAACTTACTGCCCGGCGTCAGATAACAGATAAAGGCTTTTTTTTGGCCTTTGAATGAGTTTTGTTGTTTTAAATCGCCAAGTAGTAGAATGAGTTGATATTTTTGCTGACCCGGTTTTCAAAAATCCAGGTATATATACTCCTCATCAGTATGATAGGGTATGTAAAGACAATAGCCTTTAAAGCAGACGTATTTGGGCGCGATCCATGATTTGTTTTCGGTAATGCCGTTGTCCCGCCAACTTGGACGTTAATGCTACCAGAGAGTTGGGACGAGTCAAAAACTGTGTTTAAGGGAGATGTTAATGGGTTTCAAATAGAGGAGGGGGAGGGGGAGGGGAAGAAAAAAGTTCTCTCTTCTCCCCCCCCCCTTTCCCGCCCCTCCTCCCTTAATCTTTTCCTTGGCTTTTCAAGATGGCGGCCGCGATCAACGTACCTCTGAGTTTCCGTTAATATAGAATATACACTCTGATATAAGGGTTTACAGGGTTAAGCCATGTTTCTAGATTATCACTTTGATAGATCGCATCGCAATCGCAGCGATCACATGGAAACTGACCAGGCTTAACCTTTTAGTCCCAAGAGTGAACAACGTCAATTTTTTTCTAACAATATCCATACACCATTACAACAGGTTATGGCAATTTTAATTACCAAAGAGAAAATGCTTTGATTTACTTTTAAATTCTCCTAACTAAATCTTTACGGAAAGGTATGGAGATCAGTCTNTTGTTTTCGGTAATGCCGTTGTCCCGCCAACTTGGACGTTAATGCTACCAGAGAGTTGGGACGAGTCAAAAACTGTGTTTAAGGGAGATGTTAATGGGTTTCAAATAGAGGAGGGGGAGGGGGAGGGGAAGAAAAAAGTTCTCTCTTCTCCCCCCCCCCTTTCCCGCCCCTCCTCCCTTAATCTTTTCCTTGGCTTTTCAAGATGGCGGCCGCGATCAACGTACCTCTGAGTTTCCGTTAATATAGAATATACACTCTGATATAAGGGTTTACAGGGTTAAGCCATGTTTCTAGATTATCACTTTGATAGATCGCATCGCAATCGCAGCGATCACATGGAAACTGACCAGGCTTAACCTTTTAGTCCCAAGAGTGAACAACGTCAATTTTTTTCTAACAATATCCATACACCATTACAACAGGTTATGGCAATTTTAATTACCAAAGAGAAAATGCTTTGATTTACTTTTAAATTCTCCTAACTAAATCTTTACGGAAAGGTATGGAGATCAGTCTAGAGAATTTCTACGTGGATATTGGGGCTTGAAGGGTGAGAAAGAACTATCAGTTATATCTTTCTCAGCAATCATTTACCACTTTTTTCCATTGTTCGTATGAAAACCGGTGTTAAACTGCACATTAGCTTTTAAGTTAGGGAGCTGTTGTGGTCGGGAGTGTTCACTTCTCTACAAAAAACACCTGGGCCGGGTTGTTCAAAGCTGGGTTAAAATAACCCAAGGTTAGTGCGAAATTTGAATTCAGATATAAAAGCTTAAAAAGCAAATTCAGTTTAATTCCTTTGGTCTGCAATTTGGTGATTGTACGCTCTAAAAAGAATAGGGAAACTTATCCCAGAAAATGCCTTTAAACAAAAGAAAAAGAAACCCGGATTAAAATTTAACCCTGGGTTAGTGCTAACTAACTGCGGCCCGAAATGCGGCCCGCAATTGTTTCTGGGATGGTTACTGGGGATGCGCCGGTCAGCTATTGGTCAATTTTTTTCTCTGTCCTTAGTAACAACCCCAGAAGCCTTTGCGAAGTCGTGGTCGTCCTCGTCTTCAAATCTAAAGCTCTCTAATGTGATGCTAAACATACCAGGTAGTTAAACATGATGTTACCAGTGCTTGAGAAGCCCTCCTGTACTACACCCCACAGTCCATAGAAGAAATGCGACGCCAAAACAAATCTGAAAATATAATATACACTGGTAAGTAGGGTGTAGTAGCTCTTGATGTAGCAGATGGCAAGCCATGTCACTTCGAGGATGAATGATGGAGACCGGCGGTTATAACTTTAGAGTCTTTGGAGGAAATGCTGCGGTGATACCGTTCGAACGAAACCTCTTTGGTTGTAGTTTCACCTGAAGTTACTTATTTTTCTGCATTTTACAAATGAAATGTGGAAATTTTGTCAAATTTTGACTTTGACCAATTATGGGGGATGTTGTTAGGAGAGCAAGCATGCTACCTTCACAGCCGCTCAAGCCTGTTTTCACTACTCTCTCTTAGGAGAGGCAGCGTGGCCCAGTGCCCAGAGCACGGGTTCGGATAGCTCTAGTAGGTATAAATGTATAGAAATAACAAATTTGAAATACAAACCTAGACCCTTTTGTCTAGAGACAGTCGGTCATTATACTGTTGTATTTTATTCAAAGTTTTTACTTTTATACCTTTCAACCATACTTTACATCATTTTAACGCTTTTATCGCTTTTATACATTTTACCTTACACCTATTTCGTACATATATATATATATATATAGCTCCGCGCGGAATATTTTCTCATCCCTGATGATGCCGTTGATCGGCGAAAGCTTGGATTCCAATTTTATATTTTAAATCGCAGTTTAAGGCCTCATTTGAACAATATTATGCACGCTGAATTTCACGCACAGTTTGTTTCGATTAGCCGTTTGACGCACAACCTACGTCACGAGGAATGATTCCTCATTCGCCAAAATTGAAAACTGAAGTACCTCCGGCCGAGGAAAAGTTATACAGAAGAAAACTACGAAAACAAAGCGAATTACGTGGAAAATGTCACATGAATTCAGAGATCTTGAACTTGGATGACAAAGGACCTGTTAAAAAGAGCGCCTAAAAATTCCTTAATTGCAATTTGTAAAATACACTGGGAAAATATTCCACGGGAAAGAATCAACAAGGAAGTTTTAATTGGATGATCACACTAAAGCACTCGTCTAAAAACTTGAACGTTATACATAATTTGCATGTGACCCTATATTTAACTGACTAGGGGCAATAGGTTAACCACAAGTGCTCAAATGTACTTGACTTCCTCAAAACTAAGTTTCACTTAATTCAATTTGAGCTCACAATTTGCCACAAGCTCTACGTGAGTACAAGCAAAACGGAAGATGTAAAGGGTTTGACTTAACAACAGGAGCAGGAAAAGAGGAAAAACAACTTTCTAAGATTTAAACGACACTAAAGAGTTCGCTTGAAATAAGCATTGTTGACTTGGAAAATGGATGATATGTCAGTGACGCGAGCAGAGAGGGCTACTAACGAACGAGCAGCCTTCAGATGGTCGACTTGTTGGACGGGAAAAACTGGAGTAGTTCTGATAATATGCATATTTCTAATTTTATCGTGTGTTGTGGCGCTGTCGTTTCTGCTTATCTTGCTCGGTCTGTCAAAATCCTGCAGGACAAATAGGATAGAAGAATGTAGACAATCAGTGGCAGCAAAAGTCTGTGGAGGTGTATTCATCGGTTTATTCTTTTTGGGCGGTGTCTGCACCATAATATTTTTCCACAAAAGACGGAGAAAACGGAGCTCATGTGAAGTTGCTGTCTCCAGAATTCCGGCAGAAGACTTGGAAAAATCACCATCTCCATTGTCACCTTCTAATCATTCTCCTCACCGTTCACCGTTTGGTGAAGCTTCCTCGTTGGCTTTGCCTGACTATTTCACCGTAGTTCAAAATGCTCAAGAAGTTTCTTCTCAATTCAATGCGGGATTTTGGACGGAAGATATTGATGGCTCTGATGATGAAAACCCGCCACCGTGTTACGAACAAGCGCTTAAAATGACAAAATTATCTGCAACTTCAACCGACCCATAAAAACAACATAAACAAGGAAGTGGAGACGTTGCAAGACTATAGGGTTACATTTTACTCCAACCGTGAAATCAGAGACGGTGTGATCGCACCTTCTACCGAACAATAAGCAAACAAACTCGAGTTTTTTTCATAACGGTCGATATAGGGTGAAAAGCCCGAATCAACTATCACAGTCGATAGAAATCAACAGTTTGATTTAGTACAATTATATCAGTTAATGTACTCTCGCTGAAATGTGGCGTGCACCTCAGCCAAACGAAGTGTTAGGATTCCCAGCAGACTACGAGGATAAAGTGCTCTGTTCGAAATTCTTGGGGCTCATTAGAAGAAGTTAATGGTCTATTATGCACGATTTTCAAGCATTGAGACTTCTTCCCCCTCCTCGCGTCCTTATTATGAACTTAACAAGGTAATTTTAACTATAAAACTTATTTCTGTGTTTTCTTTTTATTTCATTTCACTCGTAAATTCAACATTACATTGGTCGCAAACGTACAATACCCTCTTACCGGGAGAACTAGTCAAGGCAAGTAGTGTTTACAACATCTCCAGCGAACTTAGTTCTTTCTTATGAAACGTATTTTGATTTATTTACATCGCCATTTGCACATAGAGTGATTTTACTTGAACCGTGAAACAGGTACTAACTTATGGTGCAAAATAGCAAGAAGTTAACAAAAGAAGACAATAGAATTAGTGCGTAATAGTGCGTAGTATTCTACTACCTATTTCACGGTTCAAGTAAAAACACTCTAAAATGTGCTTTTAACTTTTTACCGCAGCTTCCATAATTCTTGTTATTTACGAACTAGTGGCTTTGCGGTATAAAGCACTCAGTTCAACTGAAAGGGTTAGAGACTTCCGGCCGCTTGTGATTTAGTTGGTAGCGCTCAGTTATGAAAAAGGGTCAGAGACTTCCTGTTCGTGATAAGTAAATAAACGCACTTGTTACCTGCTGTGCACGAAACATTCCAGTGCGTGCGTTTAATTTCGATAAAACACGTACACGAACCCAAGTCTTTCAGTAGCGTACATTACTGTACACATTGACGAGCGTGTTCTCGAAATAAGGTTTTGTGTTTTAAGCGTCCTCACCGATTTTTCTGTTTTTATCAAAGAGCCACTTTGTGGTTTTCAAGAACCTTCATTTTTTTCCTTTTTAGTTATTTTTTTAAATCATTTTTTAAAATTTATTTCTATTTCTCAGCCAATGGTGAAAATATAAAATAGTGTCCTAGTATACAGTGTATGTATTGAAATTATTAGTTGTTTTTCTTTTGTTTCATTTTCAATCTATTTTTTAAAAAATAATTGATAATAATAGTAATAAAAAACAACCTTCACTACAATACATTCAACTATTTTTCCGTTTACTACTGGCTTCAATACCCGGCCGGCAAAGTTTTCAGGACCAGTTAGGGACGGACCGTTAAAAAAGTCATGGGGGAGGGGTAGGCGAAGTACAAAAAAGGAAAAGGAAAAGGAACTAAAGAAATAAGGGAAATGTTCATGAAAATTCACCATCACCGCCATAACTTTTCCAATGGTCTGCCCCATAGGCGACAAAGTTAATTCGAACTTGTACAGAACCGCAAAAGATCCCAAAATCTGAAATGGGCCGCAAATGATCCCCAGTGTCGACCGCAAATGATTCCCACTATCGACCGCAAATGATCCCCACAGTCGACCGCAAATGATCCCTTGAAAAGTAGAGGAATGCAATGGACTTCAGGCATAGATGAATAGTGAATAGTGCTGACGCGTAAGACAATGAAATGAATAAAACGATAAATAACCGTATTGCTTCTTTTAGCAATTTGTTCTCCTTTCTTTCAAGCATTGATGTTTCGTTTCTGTGTACTGGAAGGACGTTAAGCAGGAAACTCGTCTTTTGTTTAAACGTCGAGGTATACGGAAATATGGGGTCCGGGATCATTTGCGGTACTGTACAAACCTACTGCAAGTGTATAAACCACAACCCCAGGACAAGCAGAAGTGTCAGCTTAAGAGAGATTAAAATAGGAGTTGCGATTATATGTCCCTGCACGTGCATGACGCGTATGGAAGTTGTCTGTCCACGAGAGGTATCCGTTATCGGAGATTCGATTGTATGCTTATTTCAACACAGTTTTATTTCCTTAAAACTACTAACGTTCTTTTAAAGAGCCACTAAGATGCAGGGTCTCGCACACGATCAAGACAACAGTTTGACAAAATTCAAGGCTACCAAATTTCATTATGACCATGTTTACACTAGAGATGGATTATCCCCCGCAAAGGATAATCTACCTGAAACAAAATCCGTCCAATCAAACGAATTAACCAGACGCATAAAATTAGAAGGATTACTCGTCGAAATAACCACCCACTCGTTTTCACACGACGACGATTTTCCGACAGATAGAGGTTCTGAGACAGATGATCCATCTCTTCAGAGAAAACGGCCAATACTGTACTGTATTAGTGTTAGAATCCCCCCCCCCTACCGTGGAGGAAAACTGCAAATGCAAGACAGATGAAAGAGTGTTTGAAAACGCCTGAGAAAACAGCCGACATCTCGGCAAGCCACCACTGGTTTCCCAAGGAAATGAAGTTCGAGGAACGAGCGTAGAAACACCATACTGACGACGCGTCACTATCCAGATCTTGGTAGTGCTTCTGATTGGTTAAAGCAAATTTTTAACCAATGAGATTCACTACCCACACCTAGGTACTGACACGTCACCAGTATGGAATTTCTTCGCTCGTTTCCTGGGGAAACTTGTGGTGGTGTCGCGTTTAAAGCATTACCTGTCGATTTGATCCAATAACTCCGTTTCCTCTATCGTTGGTGCACAAATTGTTCCATTAATGGGTGTATTCCTTCCATACAGTAAACTTTCACCACGAACATTTTATCGACCCGACTAACTGCCCCTGGGTCTCCGAGGATGAGATCAACTCGTTTGGAAGTAATAACAAATTTTTGAAAACATTGTCATCAGGTACTGTCGTCTGATATAAATGATCAGCTGATATGATACAACGAGAAAATCTGCCAGAAGAGCGGGAAGTTCTGAAATTTTCGAGAGTCTTGGAACCAAGAGAAAAGATAGCAATATTCCGGGAAGAATGTAACGAGGCCTATTAAAGCAGAGTACCACTTGAAACGTCAAAAGCTACGCTAAGGATTCTCCTGTGTCGTATCTCAACCGACTGAATAACGTAAGTTAGATTTATTGGGCGGTTTTTCGCAGAAAAAACGCAAGCTGTGTAGCTAACGGGAAAAAGTTTTCTTTTGTTGCTCAATGAGACTTTCGACCTCAGGAAACCGCTCTTCGAATACCAAGGTCAAAATTTCTTTGAACAACATCCATGTCAAGACTGTCAAGCGAATCGCTAACTTAATCCCGTGCAAATTACTACGTATGCAGTATTTTACAGACAATTTCCTTCCCTGGTGGAGAGAGGCAAAATTTGCCCAGGTGAGCGATATCCTCATCGTCCCCTCGGTAGTTCCCATTAAAAGAACCAATCAAATTGATTTGTGTGTTTGTAAAAATATCAACCAATCAGCGCCCGAGGGTCAGATCCTATCCCTACCGCCTGCATGAAAGTGAGATTAAAGACTAAGGTAACCTAGCCTGCAGTGCACGCGTTTTCACGGAGCGGGGGAGGGGGGTCTCCTTCTATCGCCCTAGCACCTACCCTAAGGGTTGATATTTCTTTTATCCCTAACTTCCTCTGTCATAAAATCAAAGATGCCGACTACAGCAATCTGGAGCAATACGAAGCAGCTTTCGCCCGCCCAAAGTACGCCTGCGCTGCAGGCTAAAGGTAACCAGTGGTTTTTCTCTCTCTCTCCTCACGGCTTCGTGGCTCGGTCTCTCACGAGAAAAAATTTCAACTGAAAAACCTCTTGGACGATCAGGGTGGAACATACAAACGTTTGTATCAGAATATTGCCCTTCAGTGCGGAATCTAAAAAAAACATCATAATTACCAAATGGCGGCTTATAGAAAACTAGCCCTATTGCTAGCTATTGCCAAGATCCTTCTATAGTGTCATACATAAAAGGTAATTATCACAGGTTGTGCGGCTTACGAGCCCAACTTTGTATGAAGGTCAAAGAACCCGGAGTAGTCAATCGATAAAAATCGGTACTAATGAAGTTATTTTTATCAATTGATAACGGAAATCAGTGAAAATCGATAAACTAAATTGCTGTGTCAAATCAATATTATCGATTTTTCATGATTTAAACAACTTATAACGGGAGTCCGCCTCTGTGGTTGTTTTTTGGCATAAGTTAGATAGTACAGCTGAGAAAACACATCCACGAGTAACAACTGATCAGCAAACATGAAAATGAGAAGTGTGGAAACTAGTAAACACTAAAGATTCTCCCTAAAACCCCTCTATTTGTACACAACAAAAACGGTTCGGTTTAATTTCATCCGAATTTCAGACATCCCCCCGGGTCGAAGGGATGCCTGAACTAAATCCACGCTAAAACAGGGTTGCCACAGGCCAGGAAATGGTTGAAAGGGAAAAAAAATTATTCAGGGTCAGGGAAGAGTCCGGGAATTTCACTTTGAGACAGGGAAAATTTAAGTCTTTGAAAGCCGTCAGGGAAAAGTGAAATTTTAAAAGTATACATTTATTCTTTTCCCTTTACCTTTACTGTTTTCTAACCTTAAAAATCTTCTGTACATTTTATGGAATCATGTTGAATTGGTAGAATATTGAACATGAAATTGAACGACAAGTTGATGTTGGGTTTTTCCAAGAAAATCAATCCTTTTTTAATGTTATGTTAAGGAACTATCAATAGACCTTTTTCACGATGCCTGCCATCTTTGCTGATGCGCTCTACGATCGCTTTGGGGACTAATTTGTGAAATTGTTAATTCAGTTGGTCAGGGAAAAATCAGGGAATTTCAGAAACGTCTGGCTGTGTAAAACATGTCAAAGATTACCGTAGATAGAATTTCACCGTTTTCCCTTATCAATCGATAAA